ATTCTTCCAGGTGTCAGGCTTCCTGGAACACCTATTCTTAAACTTAACTTAAACTAACACATTTTTTGAAGAGCAGTCATTTGGCCTAAAAGCTTGGGATGTCAGCATCCCGTATTGGAAGTCTGGGTTTAGGTCCTGGCTTTGCTCCAAATTCCAGCCTCCTCCTATTACATAACCTGGGAGCTCAAGTATTTGAGTCCCCGCCACCCATGTGAAAGAAGTGGACTGAATTCCTGACTCCTGGTTGTGTCTTGGCTCAGTTCTGGTTGTCTGTGACCATTTGGGGAGTGGGCTAGCAGATGGGAACTCTCTTGAAAAAGTGAAAGAGAGAGAGAGAGAGAGAGAGAGAGAGAGAGAGAGAGAGAGAGAAAATCTCTTTTGAGTTTTATCCCAAACCTTCATTCATTAAATTCTCAAAAAAGATTAATTTGGTTTGGGAAACAGTTTCCTTCAGAGAAACAAAACAGGGATAGGAATTAATCAATCCGTACAGATATTGAAAAATAAAATGTGATGTAATCAACAGCTTCTTAGTCATTTTTGTTTTCAAAATAAAAGTAATCTGAATCGGATTGTTTTGGTTATCTTCACACACACACACACACACACACACACCCCAAAAACTAAGCTGCCCAGAAAGCATGATTGTATGAAAGAAGCTGACAGAACATTGTTGAAGATCTCCCTGGGAGTGGCTGTGGTCGTAGATGTAGATTTTCCATGAAAGCAACACTGGTGGGAAGTGAGTAAGCTTCAGAGAGCACCGTTTTTACAAAGCAGATTCCCCAGATGCCCACTTCTTTCTCACAGCCTTTACATGTTTCCCTCCTGTGTATTTCCGAAACATTCTCTCTTCATATCAGCACAAGAAACATGCTGAATATTTAAGTTTGTATTTTAGAAGGTTATTATTCTGTGTGGTTATCGTGGACGTGACTTTCAAACATGAATTGTTTCAAATAATGACACTTATGACATTACCTAAAAAATTCATAGAAAATTGAATAAAATGCTAATGTGGGTTTTCCAGAATTATTTTCCTAGAGTTCTATGTGTATTTCCAAAACATTTTCCTGTATTTTCCAGAACTATATTCCTGACTTTTTAATGAGATTTTGTCCCAGATTCCCAGTTAATGAAGTGTTTACAATGCCAACTATCAGCATGAACGGACTGAATGACTTTTGATGGTGATATTTGTAGGGAAATTAGTATTGACAATACTAGTCAATCTTTTTGCTATTCCCAAATCATCAGACGCTTGAGAATTTGAAATATTGTGTCCAGGGAATTTGTGCGTTATGTTGTTCCAATAGTGATAGGAAAATTGGAACCCTGTAGAGACACAGAAAAAGATGAATGTGTAAAATGCTCTGGGGTTTATCAATTTATTTACTTTCCTGATAATTTTATCTTTCCACTGAGAAAGTAACTTCTACGGATGGATGAAAAGAAATTTGACATTATTTGAATCTTTCACAAGATAAAGATTTTGTAAAAAAAAAAAAGAGCAGAATCTTCACGACTGGAGGTGTGTTTGAGAATACATTTCTGGAAAATTTGTGTATTTCGGTGAAATAATATTTTAAGATAAATCTGCGGTAATCCTGAAGAAAACATATGAAACTAAGCCTTCTTCTGAATAAAGGTAGATTTTTGGGCTGGTGCTGTGCTGTAGCAGGTGTAGCCTGTTCCTGTGGTGCCAGCACCCTGTATGGGCACCTGTTTGAATCCTGGCTGCTCCACTTCCAGTGCATCTCCCTGATAATGGCCTGGGAAAGCAGTGGAGAGTGGCCATGAATCTACATGGGAGACCTGGAAGAAGCTCTGGCTTCTGGTTCTGGAGCACCCCAGCTCTGGCCATAGCAACCATCTGGTGAGTGAAATAGTGGATAAAGATCTCTTGGTCTTTCTCTCTCTTTCAAGAAAGAATAAATGAATCTTATAAAAAAGGTATATTTTGGGGAGAATCCATTGGCTACAACAAATACTTTCAAGAGAGAATCTAGTAAATACAAAAAGATACAATTTATATATTTTTTCTTTTTTGCTTATGTAGAGTCACCACACAAAGTTAGAACACAATTTGGAGGAAGGAAAATATTTTGAGATAATGTGATGATTTGCTTTTCATTTTGGACACTTAATCGCCTCTTAGATATCTGAATGATTTATTTGGCTAGTAATTCAAAGTTATATTACATTATTTTTGAAGTTATTTTTAAGCTTATTTTGAAGTTATTATTTTAAAGTTATTTGTTTACTAAAGTAATGCACAATATTATGACAATCTACTATAAAAATTACATTAAATCAAATACATCTTGTCTGCAAATAAGAAAAGGCATATTTTGGAAACAGTACTATAAAAGGGACATTATGTATTTAAAAAAATCTCAAAGTGTATTTAGGAAATATAATCCAGACAGTTGGAAAGTGGACTTGCTCATCTCATTTGAAAATCTTTACTACAAAATGGAAAAATAATAATTCCCACATTGCTCTTTGTAAACATAGTAATATTTTCACCATATTGCCATCTTTGTAATGGCATAGTTTCTGATATACATTTTAATTTAGCTTTCATGAAAAAAATTATTGTTTGAACTACTGGAAAACAAATGTCACATTCAAGCAGTAAATTTTCTAACAACCAAAAACAACAAGAAAAATGCCAAAGTAAAATTGCTATTTTGGAGATGAATAATGGATGGGTCACACTTGTAGTTGGTAATATACGTACAAAATACTATTTCAGATGACCTGCAAGAGGTGAGCATATTCTGGGAAAAAAAGATTGTTCAGTCAACTAATGCTGAATTTATTTACATAATTAAACTCATGATAAGGACACTTGTATAAGACTTAGACCTAAATCCATATGCTTCTCTTCTGAATTGCTAATTGTATTGGCTGCTTATTTAATCATGCAATTTAGAAGTGGAGTACCATCTGAGTGAAAGACTTCCAATTAAGTTATTAAATTATTGAGTGTAACTATTAGATTTTTAGAGGTACCACTAATTTTAAAAGCTACCAAGAAGTGATTAAAATATTAAAGGACAGGCATGTAAATAATAAATTTCCTTCAAAAAGAAGAACTAAGATTGGGTTATATTCATGAATGTAAGGAAAAAAAATGATACCAAGAAAGACTTCTGAAAATCAAGGAAATTCTGCAAAGGCCTTTTATAAAAAAAGTTCAAGAAGAAGGTATAACAAAGTAAATCTTATGTTACTAAAGTGCTTAGCTAGCAGAATAAACCTATTTCATTTTCTTTCTTGCAACTCCCAATCCTTTTTTATAAGTTGTGAAGCAGAAGCTTCAAAAAGTCTTAGAAAAATGACACAAACTAGGTTAAATATGCCTTTTAAGAAACCTAATCTGCTTCCACTAGATAACATTTTTTCATACTTGTTGTAAGTCATATTAATTTTTTGGGCAGGACTGCCCATCTTCACATTAGGGTCTTTGGTGGATATAATCGATGCATGAAAAGGATTTCAAGGTGACTTCTAGACCACTAATATCTGACAAAAAGTTTGTGCAATGATGCAAATATTCTACATCTTTTTGCCCAACATAATAGCTACCAGCAACTTGTGTCTATTGAACACTTAAAATGTCGACACTATGATTGGTTTAAATTGTATTTCATTTTAGTTAGTTCAAATGTAAAGACTCCCAGGTGGCCTGTGGTTCAGGTTAGGCAGTGCAGTTCAAAATCCTCTCCATCCCTTTCAGTGAAAATTTCAGACAACATCGCATGACCTATTTGGGGCTTTCTCTGGGCTTGTGTAACTGCTGCTGAATGGGAGGGTGGGCATGTAATTTGGTTGCTAACCAGATTACTTTGAGAAATACGAGGAGCATCGTCAACAATAATGGTGAGACAAGAATCATAATTTTGGGCTATCCAGGCAAAGGAGAAGGCATGGTCCCCCCACCTGCAGGGTTTTCATTGGAAAGCGTTTGTTTTTTTCCCCCCTTTCTTTTCGGGTTGCTTTACAAATAAGATTTAAGTATGTTGTTGAGTACATATATTCATCACACATGATCTTTGCCTCCACAAATATTTCCCAAAATCTTTATAACTTGTCTCTACTTTCTTAGCGATTCTCAACCTCAGATTAAAGCTATGTCCAGCATGATACTAAATAACTAAGACAGAAGATTAGAAATCACACACTTGAGAGTAGCCCTGGTTCTTTGATAGTTAAATTGATTTGGATCTTTTATAATTTCATCTGAACTTTTATCAATAGATAAAGGCAGTCAAAAAGAATAGGGAGGGTTTTTTTTTTTTTTTTTTTTTGCACTTTGTCACTCAGTACTCCTTGAGAATTACAAATTTTCCCACAATGGTTAAACTGGGTGGGTTGAATATACAGTGAAGTAGTTCATTCAATCTAGCTGTGTGTGTATGTGTGTGTGAGCATGTGTACATGTGAGAGGCTCCTGGAAATATAAGTTGCTTTAGGTATTCTTTCAGCTCTCTGCCAGCAGCAAAGGAAGCATTGTAAGAGCAGTCTTTAACAGTTGCACCTCAAAAGGTAGGATCAAGTCACTGCCGATAACACAGACCCCTGTTTTTAGAGTTCATCCTGTTTTAAAATAACTGGATGGGGTTTTTCTTAGATACAAAACAGAGAACATAGGTTGGAGCATCAAGTCATATGATGATTTTCAAAAACCCAATTGCATAGATAACTAAATGTTCCTAAGGTAACAGACACACACGACAGATTAGTTCTCATGCAGTGTCTCTGGCGTGGCTTTGCTTTTCAAATTTCAACCACTCTTTAATGATACATTTTGTGTTGAAGATAGTAGTTATTCACCAAGAAAAAGTTGCACAGTTTAATAGGCATGTGGGTGAATAGGGAAGGAGAAATTAGTTATTCTAGGAGATTTATCCAAAGAAAAGGATTTAGGAACATGATAATTTAAATAGTGACAGGTATCTCTCTGACTCATTTTGTTCGAGATTTTCACCAACCTGATAGCTCGAATGACAGTTTTAAGTGGTGGGGTTAGGTCTTCTACTGATACGTCACACTGGCATCCTTTTTCATCATATACATCATCAGTGCCAAGCGCTGTGTCAGCTGCAAGATAAAAATGCCAATTAAATAACGTCACTAACTGCAATTTAAAACCTGTAGCTGAATTTGGTTCACATAGGAAGGGTGAGGTGCTCACGGATTAAGCTTGCAAACCAAGTTATGTATGAGGTCAGCTAATTGCTATTAGCTAATTGTATTATTTTTCTCTTTCTTCCACAACCCCACCAGCTTTCTGTGATTTGATAAATACTTTACTGAGCTTGCGGAAGATGGAACTGACATGCTATCTTACCAGTAGTGGTGATGGATTTGGGTTGGTACACTTAAGCTTGGAAACTAACAGCCAGGGTTTAGGTGAAAGCTGTTTGGAGGCAAGGAAGCCATCGTGGATGCTTCCCCAACTGGCCTATATATACAGAGTTGGAATCCCATGAGGCCTACCCCTGAACAAGTGAGTTAGCAGCCAGACCCCAAAATGCTGATTACCAGTGAGTTCCTGGGTACAGGAAGTGTAAGAAAGACCTTACTACAGAAAATACAGTGCAAGTTGAAAGCAGATTTTTATACTGGACAAGAGCATTAGCTCCATATAAATCGAAAAAATTTACCTTTGTGTTAATTGCAACGTTTGGAAAAGGAGAAATGCTTACAATAAATGCTGAATTATACATGATTTATATATTGCTAATAAATAAACATATATCAATATCACTATACACAATAAACAATATCACTATAGTTTCATTTTCAGTCACAAAACATAGAAAACTAACTAAATTCTTGTAAGGAGGATGGACTAGCTGAATATCGGTAGGTTTATACAATGGAATATTACTTAGGAAGCTGTTAAAAGTCATGTTGGTTAATGATCACAAAAATGCCACCATGTAGTGCCAAAAAAAATCATTGTATTTACCTGGGATTAAGAATTTTATTCAATTTGCTTGACTGTTTTTTAAAAAACTTCTATAATGAACATGTATTAGTAACAAAACAGTGCATAAGTTATAAAATTGAGAAAGGGAAAATGCCTTACGTAACTCCTAAAAGCTATCTTTTATGTAACTTAAGCATCGATAAATGTTGACCTATGGTATAGGGCTAACACTGCTTTACACTGCTTTTGCTTAGCACACTGATCATTTGCTAAGACAACAAAGGTACGCACATTACCTAGTTGGGCTCAAAATTCTGAAAGGCTAGTGGAGGGCTATTTATTGTGGCAGTGCTTATATTTGGAATGTAGTTGGTGCGACATTTGATTCCACTAATATTTATTGTGACTTTTCTTGGTTTACTCTGTGTTGGACTGAAGATGGTAGTGGAGGAAGAGACAGCAGGCTACAGAAAAATGGATTTTCACAGGTCTTCTTCATGAGCTCTGTGGCCTTTTGCCTTCAGAGACAGAAAGGAAAAGAGGTGGAGTAAGTACCTCATATAACAGAAATAAAAATGTTGTCCTCTGAATTTGCTGTCCCAACTGCTTAGATTGGCACTTAACCATCAATGTGACAGTATTAAAAGATGTGTGATAAAGTCAGGAGTGAGGGTGCCTCAGGAATGGACTTTGTGATCTTACAAAATGGCAATGGGAGCCATGTAGGCCCTGTTGGACTTTTATCCCTTCTACCATGTGAGGATATTGCATTCATCCCCTCTGGAGGATGCAGCAGTATGGAAACAGAGAACAGGCACTCAGCACACAGGAATCTGCTGATGCCTTGATCTTGAACTTTCAGTGACCCTCACTCCTCCACTGAGAAATACATTTGTGTTCTCTATAAATTCCTTGGTCCCAGGTGCTTTGATGCAGCGATACAAATGGACTAAGACAAACAGCGACCACTCACTGAAATTTATGCGTACTTGGGTGAAACCTCAGCAAATACTAGTTTTCTCAGAGAAACTACAGGTTTTTGCTGTTAATATTAAGCAGAGATGGGGCTTTGAGGAGGGTGAGTACCTGGTCTGAGGCCACAAAGGTGGTAAGAAGGACCAGTAAGTAGTAGAACATGATGGTACAACCCAGTTCCTGAGGCTCCAAATGCCATGAACTTTGCACTGCATGGTGACTCAGTGTCAGAAAGAGTTCAGGATTAAATGGTGACACACAACATGTCAAGAGAGACAGGGCACACAGCTGTCTACTCATGTTACCTGATGACTGCAGCCTGTCCCTATTGTTACACTCACATTTTCTGCAGAAAATGTTCCACAGTTTATACAGGCACACATTTATTAACTTTATTTGACTCAGTGATGACCTTGAGAATAGCTGCTCCATTTTTTTTGACTGATCAGCCACAAAACATAGCCCTTTTAGCCCATAATTCGGGCCCAAGTTTGGATGACATTCTGGGAATTATTCTGCAAGGTGTGCAAGTTGAACAGACTTTGCTCTTGGTTGTGGTAGTGGGATGGATACAGTTACCTCTAATATTCCACCTGGAACATCAGAATATGTCGACTTATAATCACGGTCTTACAGATAAAGTTAAGGTTCAAGATGAGATGACACTGGATTACAGTGGATCTTAAAGGCAATGAAAGTGTCTTTGCAACATGCAGAAAAGGAGAAGACATGAGGATAAAGAGAAGATGAAAGCAATCTGACAGGACGCATCTGTAGGCACAGAGTTAGAACCTCCAGAAGGAATTAGCCATGGGATCCCTTAATTTTGGACTTATGAGATAATACATTTCTGTTGCTTCAAGCCATCCAATTTGTGTCTGATTCATTTCAGGAAATAAATACACTTGAGAAAACCTTTTATTGTGAACTCTTCACTCCAGGACAATAATGGTGATAATGATAATAATAATTAAGGACTCCTAGAGAAATTCAATGATGTCGCAATAACCTTAATTAAATTGCTGCAAAACCTCATGTGACATGAATTATCATTAGTCTGTTTTACAGATTTTGAGCGTGAAGCAAACAAGCCTAAGAAATTTGCCCAAGGACAGATGGACAGTATGTGAGAGAACTTAAATCCAGTCAGTTCAGTGTGACCTGAGCCTCACCTCTGAATCCCCTTCCCTTGTCTCTTATTGACATCTGGATCCTTATCTCCTGTGTTACATTTACCGTCATGTGACCGTAAGCACCTGCCATAGTGTTGGTCCCACAGCATTGAGAGATATTTGATTTTGAGTTGTATGGTTAATACTGCTATAATCTAAGCCATGCACATCCCAAAGAAGCCCTGGAAGTAATCTCATTCTGTAACTTGAGGCACAATGCGATGTGGTGGGGGAGGAGGGCAGCTGGAAGGAGGCCTGTATGATGCTTTTTGCTTGTAGGTTTGGTTACAAATGTTAAGAGTAAATATATCTGTTTTGGTCGGTGTTGAGACAGGGGCAAAATTATTTCAGAGTTATATAAGTGGGGCAGATGATGCCCTGCTTCAGAGATACCTTGAGTTGTCATCTTCCTTTCCAGGGTCATCAATAGTATACCAAATAGAGACTTCAATACCTTTATGAATACCCAATCAGGCCTGTATTTGCAGCTGAGTCTGGACCTCTGATTTCCAATCACCCACATGCCTTTTTGCAGCATTTTGGGAGACATGAGCCATGGGAACAAAAAGCTGTGTGAACACTGATATGCAGTGAAATCTTGTCACAAAAGGCAAAATGTCCATTGATATGGTACTTCTTAAATCCTGTGCCCTGTGGGTAACCCTGTCAGGCACAGAGTGCCTATCCAGTGCATGGGCCATGCTTGGCACTGGGGAGAAAGGGAATTATGTGAAACAATTCTTGATCTCCTTCAACATTTTTCTGTTTCTGGTCAATTAGCAGTATTCGGATGTGCTTTAAAACAATTTGTTCCCTTACATTTTGGAAAATATTAGATGAATTTTGGCAGTCATTGTTTTTGAAAAGCCTTCTAATACAACTGTTACTTTTACAGAGAATGAAAAGGCAGACTGATGGGGAACATTCTAGAAACTTCTGCTATGTCCAAGATCACTTTTCTATTTCCTTTATGAGATTTTGTATCAAGCTGCAGGTACTTAGGAGAGAAGAAATTTATAGTTCTTTTTACAGGTCTGTTTGATTTTTTTGCACCTATTGATGAAATTATTATATTGGATTTAAATAGGTTCTATATAGCCAACAGGGAGTATTGAAATAAATCCCCCAAATTAGGCTGTTCTAAAGACCAACCCTACAAGCTAAAGGTAAGTATTCAATGGATTTTTCTTTCTTTCTTTTTTAAGTTTCCTAGAGAAACCCAGTATGTTGTCAAAGGCAGAGATCACTGAGGGCTGGTGGAGAAGTGATGCCCCTAGGCCTCTCTCTGCCAGAGCTGAGAAAGGTATCTGAATAGTCACCATTTTCTGTTTCTCCTTTTGTGCCACTTGCATATTTACAGAGGAATAACTGGAGATAACAGAGATGCCTCACAAGATGCTGAGAAGATGCATTATGAAATGTTTGAGGAAAATCCTTGACGAGTTGGCAATAAAAGGAACAAGGTTCTGTCCCATCACAATTTGATTTTAATCGCCTTTTACTTCAGCTTGAAGGCCTCAGTCTGACTTCCAGGTATGAAACCCCACCCTGGTTCTACAGTGTAAAGTTTACTTGAATGAATCAAATCCAAAATATAAATGTACAAATATGCCAGCCAGGAGAAAGTTCTACTGGTAAAAATGACTAAAAACAACTGAACTTAAATAGAAATAAAAATAAAAATGCATGAATTACAAGTAGGAGTCATCACTGTTTAATTTCAGCTTCAGAAATTATAATCAATCATCTTAAAATTTTATTGCAGAGAAGTTTTCCTTGGAAAATAGAAAAGAAGATAGGCAATGGACTGTACTGGGCCCCGTACTTGCCCCGTACTTGCAAGTACACATAAGAACCTGGTCTGGGTTCACCTCAGACAAAGTTTCTTTATGGATCCTCTCAATCGAACTTGAGACTCAGATTCCTAACCATGAAAAGACAGAGGACAGAACAAATCAATCAACTACCCCAGCTATATGTTGGCAGTGAAAAACAGGGCAAATGGAGACTCTAAGATG